AAAAAAAATAATATGCTGCTATATTGTAAAATTGTAATATTCTTTTTAATATAATTTATTAGTGATTTTCACAATCTTCTTTATAAATACATCTTTTATTGAGGAATTATATTGTAAATTTTATTAGATAAATAAACAATCTTTTAGGTGAAATCTTTTATAATTTTTTTATCATTTTTTTAAAATTACCTATTTTTTATTAAATGGTGGATTTAATGAAACTTTTTTGATGATTTTATATGATCTTTTTAAGGATAATATTTTAATGTGACAATTGTCATAATCGTTATTTTATAAGTTTTTTGAATTTTTTTGAAGAAAATAGGTTAAAATAAGTATTAATAACATGTGTAAATATAAATTTAGTGAAGATGTACCAATGAAAAGTGACATTTGTCATAATCGTTATTTTTAAAGTTATATGAATTTTTTTGAAGAAAATATGTTAAAATAAGTATTGATAACATGTTTAAATAAAATTTAGTGAAGATGTACCATAGAAAATTGACATTGTCATAATGGTTATTTTTAAAGTTTTTTGAATTTTTTGACGAAAATATGTTAAAATAAGTATTAATAACATATGTAAACATAAATTTAGTGAAGACAATGAAAAGTGACAATTGTCATAATCGTTATTTTATAAGTTTTTTGAATTTTTTTGAAGAAAATAGGTTAAAATAAGTATTAAAAACATGTTTAAATAAAAATTTAGTGAAGATGTACCATAGAAAAGTGACAATTGTCATAATCGTTATTTTATAAGTTTTTTGAATTTTTTTGAAGAAAATATGTTAAAATAAGTATTGATAACATGTTTAAATAAAATTTAGTGAAGATGTACCATAGAAAATTGACATTGTCATAATGGTTATTTTTAAAGTTTTTTGAATTTTTTGACGAAAATATGTTAAAATAATATTAATAACATATGTAAACATAAATTTAGTGAAGACAATGAAAAGTGACAATTGTCATAATCGTTATTTTTAAAATTTTTTTGACGAAAATATGTTAAAATAAGTATTAATAACATGTGTAAATATAAATTTAGTGAAGATGTACCAATGAAAAGTGACAATTGTCATAATCGTTATTCTTAAAGTTTTTTGAATTTTTTTGACGAAAATATTTTAAAATAAGTATATATAACATGTTTAAATAAAAATTTAGTGAAGATGATAAGCGACAATTGTCATAATCATTATTTTTTAAGTTTTTTTATTTTTGTTGACGAAAATATATTAAATGAGTAATAATAACATTTTTAAATAAAAATTTAGTGAAGATGTACTATAGAAAAGTGACAATTGTCATAATCGTTATTTTTAAAATTTCTTTGATATAAATGGGTAAAAATATAGATTGTAAAATTAAAATTGCCTGAGTATATGCCATAGAAAAACATATGGTAATAATAGATTCTTCCCCAAAAACAGGAGCAAATTGGCATTTTATTACATTTGTTCATCGTGTCAGAAATTAATATGCAAAATTTATATCATAATATCTAATCCTAAGTTAGAAATTATTATTTTTTTACCAATTTTCACCAGACAATCTTGTTTAAAATTTGGGTAAACTTTTTTTCTATTTTAAAATCAATATCGATGCAAGTTAACTATTTTCGTCAAAAAAAATCAAAAAACTTTAAAAATAACGATTATGACAATTGTCGCTTATCTAGAGTACATCTTCACTAAATTTTTATTTAAACATGTTATCAATACTTATTTTAAAATATCTTTGTCTGTAAAATTCAAAAAACTTTAAAAATAACGATTATGACAATTGTCACTTTTCATTGGTACATCTTCACTAAATTTATATTTACACATGTTATTAATACTTATTTTAACAAATTTTCGTCAAAAAAATTCAAAAAACTTTAAAATTAACTATTATGACAATTGTCACTTTTCTTTGGTACATCTTCACTAAATTTATATTTACACATGTTATTAATACTTATTTTAACAAATTTTCGTCAAAAAAATTCAAAAAACTTTAAAATTAATCATTATGACAATTGTCACTTTTCATTGGTACATCTTCACTAAATTTATATTTACACATGTTATTAATACTTATTTTAACATATTTTCGTCAAAAAAATTCAAAAAACTTTAAAAATAACGATTATGACAATTGTCACTTTTCTATGGTACATCTTTACTAAATTTATATTTACACATGTTATTAATACTTATTTTAACAAATTTTCGTCAAAAAAATTCAACTTATAAAAGAACGATTATGACAATTGTCACATTAAAATATTATCCTTAAAAAGATCATCTAAAATAACATCAAAAAAGTTTCATAAAATCCACCTCATTTGATAATAAATAGATAATTTTAAAAAAATGATAAAAGATTTCACCTAAAAGATTGTTTATTTATCTAATAAAATTTACAATATAATTCCTCAATAAAAGATGTATTTACAAAGAAGATTGTGAAAATCACTAATAAATTATATTATAAAGAATATTACATTTTTACAATATAGCAGCATATTATTTTTTTTATTAAAAAAACATCAAATAAATAAATTTATTTTCATTTCAAAATATAATAATATAAATAAAAAATATTAAATCATATCATGTTTATTTGTTGATAATAATAAAATATTTACATTAAATATAAATAAAATAAATTATTTTACTAAAATAAATAAATAATAATTAATGCTAAGCATCGATGCAGAATTTTGACTAATTTATTTTAGCCAATTTTTAGGCTTAGCCCATTTTCAGGCTTAGCCAATTTTTAGGCTTAGCCAATTTTTAGGCTTAACCGATTTTTAGGCTTAGCCTAATTAGGTTTAGCCGATCCGATTTTTAGGCTATACCTAATTAGGCTTAGCCGATTTTTCCACCTAAAATATCGGCTAAGCCGTTTTTAGTCGGCTAAAATTAGCCGACTACGCAACACTAATCCCATTAAAAGAAAACTTACGTGAAAAGAAATATTCAACGAAAAAAATATCTAGAGTAAAAAAAGTTTTAAGGCCTAAAATTATACCATTATCTTCATCAAATCAAGAAAAATTAGTTGAAATTCTAGATAACTTAAAAATCAATGCTGTCGACAAATAAATATAGATTATTAACATTTTACCATTAAATTTGGACAGTAAGAAAAATTGCAAAAGAATTTAATATTTCATATCATAGCGTTAAAATCAAAAGGTTTAGAAAAGGGTTTTTTTTTAACACCGAATCCTAAACACGGCAAGACAATAAATGCCGCCACCTTTGCTGTTGTCAAAACTTTTTATAGCAATGATGAATATAGTCAATCGATGCCTGGGAAAAGGGATTTTGTTTCTATAATAAAACATGATGAAAAGATTCAAGTCCTAAAATGATTAATTTATTAATTTACGAGAGCCATATCTTAAATTAAAATATATTCATTCAAATATTAAAATTGGACTAACTAAATTTTGTTTCAAATATATTTTAAATTATATAATATGATTTTATCTATATTTCTATATATTAATTAAAATGAATATTAAAATAATTATATTAAAGATATTTCTTATTGGAAATTTGTTACATTATTAAGTGTCTAGTGAGCATCTGCCCACACTGCCCCTCAGTTTAATTAGTATATTTAATATAAAAAAAATTTTTAGTATAAAAAGTGGAAATATCCGGTTATAGGTAAGTTAGCAGCAAAATTTTAACAACAATCCGTAATTTCATAAAGAGCCGGAGTCGATAGAGTCGCTAAGGTTTTGACATCGTATATATATTTATAAAAGGTGTCTAAATAAAAAGCAAAAAAAAAAATTCGAAAACAAACTCCCTTTTTTGCTTAAAAATACAGGTAAAGCAATATAGGTAAACCGGGTAAAGACTCAAATTGGTGCCAATATTTTTTTTTTGACAGCCCTTTAGAGATTTTTTTTTACCTACAATGATATATTAAATACTTTTTTACCATAAATAGTTTTGGATTGGAGATATAAGCATTTTAAATATTTTATAGATTCCAAAGTGGCTCTATTTTGCACCTTTGAGCCTCTATATCTCGGGAACGAGGTGTGCTAGCAAGCTAAAATAAATGGCTTTCTCATTTATTTACCTATCTAAATAATCCCAGAAATTTTTAACAATTTTAAAAGGGGTCGGCCGAATCGTGATCGATTTGACGTGGAATGGCCTTAAAATTTTTATGGCAGCCAAGAAATTTTTTGATATTTTAAAATTTAGAGTTAATATTCTGATTTAGTATAAATATTATAATAAGTGATTTATTTCTATTTTAAGAGCTATTTAACTAATACTAAATTTATAACTAATATAATTAATTATCAATAATTGGGTCTGACTTATTATATTTGGGCCAGGCCTTTGGCAAAAATTGTTCTTGCAATATTTTTTAGAAAATTTTGGGTTGGGCCAAGAATTAAATAAATCTGATGATGACACATTTTTTTAGTTCCATATTTCATAAGTAAATAAAACTCTTAATTTTTTAAGTTTTTATAAAGTTAAATGTAATTTATATGGAACCCAAATAATTGTGCCAGTTGTCTGATTTGTTTGGATATTCTTATATGGAATCTTCAGTTTAGATATATCATTGCATAAAGTAAATAATTAGATTGCCAATAAACTTGAATAAAAATTGCTGATATTGCTTACCTGCATATTATAAGCAAAGAGCTTAAACTTATTTTAGAAGTTATAACTATATTATTATAATTAATGTAAATATTAATAATTTAGAAAATAAAAATAAATGCTTTCGATAAAATAAAATGTTTGATTAATAAAATTGTATCAGTAGCAAATTAAATATAAAATAACAATTAATAATGGACTCATGATATTAAGAATTAACCAATGATATATTCATTGGAATTAACTATGGGAAAACAATTATTATAAATATAACCATATATTTGGTAGTAAGACAAATTATCATCGTGGTAATCAACATGGTGTTAATGGCGTCTCCAGCTGATTTTAATTGATAATGAAATTGGCAGTCTAGAGTCTAGGTATATTGGGTGATATTGTCTTCGCTTAAATGTTTCGCGGAGGTTTCACTTACACTATAAAATTCTTCGCGGCAAACGACATTCGCGATAAAGTTTTCTGAATTGACCTGATACGATTCTATATGCCTATGCATATAGTTGAATTAAGAAAACATTTTTTAAACCAAAATAATTCAAAAGATTATACAGCTCATTTATCAAAAGTACATTCTGTAGCTTGGAATTGCCGGGGAGACAAATTAGCCTCTGGATCATTAGATAAAACAGCTTGTGTTTATGCATTAGATAAAGATAAGCTAGTAAATTACTCAAGATTTAAAAATATATAACTATGGTAAAAGATCAAAGAACTTTCTCTCAAAGGTCATGCGGATACTGTCGATCAGTTATGTTGGCACCCAATTAATCCTTACCAGTTAGTTACTGCAAGTGGTGATAAAACAGTTAGATTATGGGATATAAAATCGTCAAAAAGCTATGCAAATATTCCAACAAAAGGTCTGACCTTACGTATATAATAAATATTTAATTTAATTAAAGGTGAAAATATTAATGTTTGCTGGTCACCAGATGGTAATACAATTGCTGTAGGTAGCAAAGATGATTTAGTAACATTTATAGATGTTAAAAAACAGTCAATTATTGCAGAGGAACAATTTAAATTTGAAGTCAATGAAATTTCCTGGAATAATGAGAATGACTTATTTTTCCTTACGACTGGTCAAGGAAACATTTCAATTTTGAAGTAATAATTATGTTGAATAAAAGTAAATTTTAATTAGTTATCCAGATCTTAAAATTCAACAAGTGATATATGCACACCCATCAAATTGTATTTGTATAAAATTTGACCCTACTGGAAGATATTTTGCCATTGGAAGCACAGATGCCTTGATAAGCATATGGCACTCTCAAGAACTCATATGCTTAAATGTGATAGCCAGGTAAAAAAAAATATGCTATTTGTAGTTATGAATAGAATATTATAAATTATATTTATGATTAATGGTAAAAATGATATAACCTTCTTTTGAATATATATATATATTGAGATACAATAGTTTCACTGCTAATGATGATTCCCCTATTATTTTAGTTTAATATTAAAATAAATAAAAATTATAGGCATGACTAAAATACGTGCCACCCTATCAAAGAAGCTTAATTTAAATTATATTAATGTAGAATCATATTTAGCTTCATAAGATGAGTTAGAAAATGTTTTTTTGATTTAAAAAAAATGGCAACATAGTAAAATTTTTAAAAAAATTTAGTCAAAAAAGAAGAAATTAAGTGTTTTTCCAAAATCTCAATAAGTTATAAATAATTTATAAACTTAGTATTAACATTTTTTTGATTCCTTTTAATAATTTATATTAGATTCTGCATTCATTTTTTATATATTAACCTTCTTTGATAGGGGGCACATAGTTTAGTCATGTAAAAAAATAATTTTTAAAAAATTTTACTATGTTGCCATTTTTTTTAAATAAAAAAAAACATTTTCTAACTCATCTTATGAAGCTAAATACGATTCTGTAATAATATAATTTAAATTAAGCTTCTTTGATAGGGGGCATATTTTAGTCATGCCCAAAATTATTTATTTCTTTTATATTTTATTTTACAAATTTATTTTCTTAATTCAATGGAAATTGATTTATATTACACATAACTAACTCTAAAATATACACACAGGACTGTCCTAATCCACAAATTTTATACCTATATATATATATATCTAAAAACATATCTTATATTTATATTGATTTTTTTAAATATTTTCAAAAAAACCAACTAACTTTTACAAATAATTAAGTTTATATTGTTATTTTTATTCTCCAAAAAATCTCATTTAAAATATTTATAATGTTTATGGGTGAATGTAGTGCAGAATTTTAAAAACATACTTATGGATTTTGATACAGATACATTGTCTAAAAATGGATCTAGATAATATAGATACAATTTTTATTATATTTAAGTAATGCATAATGCTTAATTTAGTATTCTATTGTTAAAATTCAAATTTCAAAGTGAGCTAAAAAATTTATTGAGCTGATATCACATCTATATACAAATATATAATTATGATTATAAATAATTGTTACATTTTAATAACAATTCCAAATTTTTATCATTAAGGCATCAGGACATTCCATGACAAACCGATCAAAAAAGGGTCATTTTCATAGACATCTTTTCAAATAGAATTAAACTTTGCATGATAATTATTTGATTTTTTTAAGCTCTAACTCAATGAGTTCCGAAGATATGGAGGGCTAAAGCTATGTCCTTCCTAATCTGGAAAAATTGTTTAAAATAAATATTATTCAAATTGATAAAGACCTATATTTGGTATCAATTAGGTATATCTTGAATCCCTTTCTTAAAAATAATTACTTTTTTTAAAAAAAATCTGAAGTTTTTTTTATTTCCAGAAAAGGTAAAGGAATTTTTTATGTACCTGAGCATCACATTTTCTAAAAATTGGTGTATATATATATATATATTTATTAAATCATTATAAATTTATATTGAAAAAATTAGGTTGGAATAACCATTATTTTTTGTTATTTAATTTTTTATTGATAAAAAAGGAAGTCCTTATGTGCTAAAATAATATATATTATTTTTTAAAATATGATTAAATTATTTAATTTTTAAAGAATATCATTATTTAAACATTGATTTCAACATTTGTTGTGGTTTTTAAAACGTCTGTGGATGCAAGTATATAAGTAGGCCTTATTGACAGAAGAATATAATAGTGGTCTGCATTGGGTGGGTTTTTGGACCATAAGCCCGCCCACCCAATGTTTTAACAAAATTTAACCCACCCAGCCTGCCCATAGTTTTCAAAAAAATATACCCGCTCACCTGCACATTAGTCTAAAATTTTATTATGGTCATTCTTTCAATTTTTTAAGCATCTAATAAAAAAAATTAACATTACACTTCTACAAGTTTTTAAGAAATTACTATAAGCATAAAATATTCAATTATATAATATAAATATAAAATTTTTATTATATGGAATTAATAATGCAAAAAAAAATAATGAATCGACATTTTCCAGATTCAAACATGTTCCTCTTTGTTCTGAAAACCTTCCAGCAATGCAAAATCCTCGTTCAGAAGAAGCACTAGTTGCAGGAATTGCCAATATTTTTCTTGCTATCTTGATAGCTTTGGCAAATTTCTTTTTTGTTTCCACCAAAGTAGGTTTAAATATACAAAAAAGTTTATTTATTTTAGGCTGCATCCAAAATCTTAAAAATATAAATAAATAATTTTTGAAGAAAAAAATAACGTAAAAATAAAATAGTGTCCAATTTCATTTTTCGATATTAATAAAAATGAATTCGAATAAAAATTTATATTTGTGAAATTTTTATAAAAAATAGGTAAGTACAATTTTTAATGCTGTTAATTTTTATAAATTTACTAACCCAAACGATTATAGCCATTTATATTAATATAATTTTATGGAAGGCATAAGAGTGCATAGGAACCTCTGGTGCAAAAATGACCTAAAATTTAGAGATTCTATAGAAAATTTGGGAATAGGAAGAACATATAACTTAATTTATGATCAAGTGATAAATAAATTTTTAGCTGTAAAGGCTAAATTTAATAAATTATATTCTCTCACCCAACAAATATCTGTTAAATAAGAAATTATTTGCTGGGGTGGCCTAGTCGGTTTATGATGTATGGAGCAGAAGGTCCCAGGTTTAATCCTGGTAAGGAACATAAAAAGTTTCAGTTTTTCTTTGATGACAGATGTGTGAGGACATATGCTAGGATAAATTTCTGAGCTGGGAAATCCACCCCGGTCACCGACAGGCTTGAACAGCTGGGTGCTAGGATAAATCCAACAAACCAAAAATGAAAGATGACCAGCTGACCTTGCGGGCCATTTAAGGATGATAGATGGAACCGATAAGAATACTCCAGTAGGATATCTCTCAATAGAATACTCCAGGGATATCTGTCGGTATTGATACTTCGGTGTGAGATCAAGTTACAGTGATGGCGATACTCTGGCAGAAGATCCAAATGAAATATAGATAAGGAACTCCACTGGGAGATATCAGAGATAAAAAGAGATAGATAGCATGAATAATAAAGTAGAGAGAATATTGAAAGGACTTACCACCAGAAAAAGGTGAAAACTTAAGAGAAAAAAAAATGTTATAATTTATTTAAAAGGTGCTAGAAAATAAGGATGTACTATATGTTGAACACTATATATATATGTTTAAAAGAAAATATTGATGATATTACCAAATATTCTGAGTCAAGTTTTAAATTGATACAAACAAATGTAAAATATCAAGACAAAAATATAAAATAGTTTTTTATTTTAGGAATCTGAAAATTGACATTTGGGAACAGTATTATTTTATATTTATATATGAAATTAATATATTTTGATAGGCTGCATCATATCTTAATGAAATTGCTAACCCACTTAATGATATAAATATTTAGCAAAATATATCTATTGATTCTTTTGATGATACTATAATTTCTGTACATTATATTACTATTATTTGATATTTATTATTGAATAATAGCTAGATCAAGATAATGCCAACAAAGAAAATGAAAACTCTATTCTTATTCCTACATTTAAAAGATATTATATTATTTCTATTACATTATTATATAACTATATAATAATTTATATATATTTTATGGAAAAATTATCCTTTAAAATAAAAGTTATTATTGGTTTTCTAACTGTTTATATTAAATATTGATGCAATTATTTACAACATATGTATTTATTAAATATATAAATAAAATTTAAATATAACCATTATCAAATAATAGGTTCATAAAAAGTTTAATAAAAAATTTATATATAAAATTAATTACTGCCTTGCCCTCAAGTGCTAGTGTTGAGAGATTATTTAGTAAGGCAAAACTTATACTTTCTGATCGTAGCTCTAGACATGGGGATGATAGTATAGAAATGATTTTATTATTAAAATGCAAAAAAAAAAAATGAATATTACCATAAATAGTTATTTTTATTACATTAATTATAGTCTTTTTACATAAATTTTTTTATAATCAAAACTAACTATATTTAAATATTTATAAATGATGATTTTATGTATCTATGCAATTACATTATTAGCAAAAATTAAAATAAATTTATTTCTAAGTTTTTTTATAAAAGTAGCCAAAACTACTATTAAAAAATAGTAGCTAATAGCGCGCTTTGATGGATAGCGGTAGCTAGCTACTTTTTTGACAAATAGCGATTGCAGTAGCACGCTACTTTTTTGACAGATAGCGGTAGCGCGCTACTTTTAAAAGTAGTGTTTAACAATTCTGATTATAACCCCTTAGTTAGATTATATATCTTATTTTTTTTATTCATAACTGTTAACTAGCAATATATCTAACAAATAAAATATTAATATAATTGACATAGCCACGTAGAGATTTTTAGCTGCTCAAGGCAAAAATAATTTGACAGCTTTTAAAAACCCCCACGCTTTAAAAAAATTCAAAAAACGAACTTCGGCATTTTCAGAATGAATAAATATGAAATAGGTAATACTTATAACCTGTGCGTCAAGCTCTCAATCGGCGACGGCATTTTTTTAATTTTTTTATCGGCGAACCGAATAGCCGCTATCTAATAAATTGGCAGCGGTATCGGGGGCTCTCATATTTTAATTTTTTAAAAATAAATTTAATTTATAATTTAATATATTACATTTTTTTATAATTTATTTGGACACTCTTAATTTTAACATTGTTAATATAGTAATCTTACACTATTTCCTTTCCCACCTTTATAAAAATTTATGTATTTAATTCTTAGGCTGTGTCCTAGGTCTGTTTATTACTTAATAGCCGGAGTAACGGCTAAATATCCAAAAAAGTAAGAAAATAAAATTTTGATCATTCCACTCATTTA